CGAAACATCCTCGTCACAATCCGCATCTATATCATCGTGTCAAGTAAAAATCATAAATCCACATACTGGCGATACACTTAGACCTGGTGACGATGTAGATGTATCATGGAAATTATTTGGTAAAGAGTGCTTTGTTGACGGTGTCGTACCACTACATCAGGTCAGCGCCATTCTATTTTCAAATTTGACTAGAGGTGAAGAGTGGAAATGGGACTACCGACAGGTCAGAATTCATCTTATTTAAGACTTTTTTTATTATTTTTGTATTATTATTATTATTATTATATATTTATATATTCAAATACATTCTTGATTTTTAATCGTTTATCTTAGAATCTTTACCATGAAACAAATACCAACATTTCTTCATTTCGTTACCCCGTGCAAATCATACTATCTCCAAATATTCAAAACTTAAGTTTATTCTTCCTTGATATTGAATTAACATTTCCAACGAATTCTCTGGGTATGATATGGGATGTCATGGGACCATTTACTATTTTACCAATTCCAAAAACTCCTCCAGGAAAAAATGTAACAGATCCCAATAATGACATTCATGGAGAAGATATTTTTGCTAGTTGGAATAAAGATATTGATGATACCAAACAAAGTAATGACTCTAAACAGAACAATAATAAGGAAAAAACTGGTAAAATTAGTATTGCTAATACATTATACAATATGGCGGGATGGATATGTATCGCATTTAGTGTGTTTTTGTCCGGTTTATTTATATTAATCTTTTAATAACTTATACAAAATGTAAAGTACATTGCAACGATTACCTTAACCATTTTAAACAAAATCTTTATTACACTTAAATGGGCACCTGTACAGTAGTTTCCTTTCGGAAAAATTCGTCGCGTATTCGACTAAGACACATACGAAGAATATAAGATTTATGTTTTGTTTTAGATAACGTTTTGGCGATGATTAAGCGATTGAATGTAATTTCACAAGGTTCTTTGAGAATGTGACAAAGACCGTCACAAATGAAAATAAGAGCTTCATAGGGAACCATGAGAAGCTCCATCGAATTGTTTGAAAACTTGAAAAGGGTTGCAATTCAATAACTAGTACCAAGAAGAAAGAATACGAACTAGCGCGACAATTTCCGATCATTTGTCTTTGCATTCGCCAATAATAATGTCGAAACTTATGATACCAAATCCAAAAGGCTACTTGGCCGCTCCAAATTGATTTTTTGTTTAACATACCGTGCTTGCGCGTTATTTTGAAATTTCCACTTTTTTGAAAATTACATATTTGAATCGAAATAACGCCTATGTGCGTCTCAAATAACGCGCCCCTACCACATCTGAATTTGCATATATATACAATACTATATATTTGATATACAGAATATACAGTCGACTCTGACGAACCTTTCTACAATGAAATCTAGATATAATGAGCTCAACTTTGAATTCCACAATAGTTCTGTATAAAAAGTGCCATGAGTTCTTAATAAAACTTTTTTTCTTTCTGTATTATGTTAAATGATTCGAAATATCACGCACAGATCAAAAATAGCGCGTTATTGCGCGCAAATACGGTAGCATAAAATAACTTGTAAGACACAAATTAATAAAATTATATTGGCTGTAAAAAAATATAAAACTTAAAAAGCTAATACTACAATATCGCATGGATGTTTTCAAATAGTATGGAAAGAAAGCTAATTATCTTCGTTGCCATGACTATACATGCGTAGAAACTAGTTGCGGTTGTGTCGAAGTATTTTTAGGTGTATACGATTGTGCCTCAGATTAACACTTGCGTTAGATGTAAACAATAATTATTAATTGACCAGAATTAACAGATCGGCCTTAACATTAACTGCCGGTCACGATTAACAATGTCTTCAAAATTTTTAACATCCTTGTACCAGCTAGTATTATGAACCGGTGCTGGTTTCCTTGCACTTCTAATGTAATTTGATATTTGCGAAACAAGGCGTCTAATCCCAATTCTTTCAAAAAAGCAGGACTCTATATTCAATTAAGAATTTCTTTAGCTATCTGAATGCATTTATTTGAAATTTGTAGCTTTTTTTTTTAATTCTTTTTAATCACCGTTACATTCTGTTCCAATTTTGCAATTCTAGCTTTACGTTCAGCACTTTCAATAGCAAAATATCTCCGATATTTCAATTTTGGTCAAAAGAAATTATCCGCATCTTTTGGTTTTTTAATTCTGACTGCTATATGATCATTATCTGTTCTTCAAGTTTAGAAATTCTTTCACTTAATGAATCAATTCTAGATTGTGCATCTGCCATTATTTTATACAGAATATAAATATATTCAAAAGATTGTTTTATTAGCATAGTTAAATTCTTAATTATATGCGGGATAGTATATATCGATAACAATATATCAGAAAAAAAAAAGAATATACATGCAAAAATAAACCGCAAAATCAGCCACTGGGACCAGCTTTAATAATATAAAAAATAAATAAATTACATGAAAAAAAATTTCAAGATTTAGATATATACCCTAAAATTCTCGTTTGTTTTCTTATTTAGTCTTCCATCTTCACATAATACGGGGTTTAGATCACTACCTTTTCTTTTTTGCAGGCTATTGCTGACAGTTGGTATATTTACAATAATTTCACTCTGGAAAAATCTGTTATAAAAATCTGATTTGACAAATTCAGTAGGAGCACATTAGTTATCCCACTTATTACACATTCTTTTTTAACTAATCATGTATTACTATTCTAATGATGATAGAACAAATTTATGCTATTTGCAAATTTCATTTCTTTTGGATACAAAATTAGTGCATATATTTTTATTTTAGAACTTTTAGTTAACTCTTATATATCAGTCTTTTCTTCTAGTAAGATTAATTTTATAGAAGATTGTTAATGTGTAATTTCACTACGAGCCAGAATGATATTAATAATAATGAATTTATTTTATACTACAAGACTGCATAATTATTTTCAGTTACACCAATGCATAATAGATCATCTTCTATAAGTTTGTTCTTAAATATTTTTGAAAATATAGATGTATTGAAAAACTTCTGTAATAAATTTTTGATAAATATCAATAAAATCATAATTTTTTGAAATCTTACAATCATATTTTTAAATATACTTGCTGGCAAAACCTGGACAAATCCCAAACCACAAAAATAATTGCTATTTATAAAAAATTAAATCAAATAAATAATCTTAAAATTTTATAAATCCATTGTTTATAACTATAAAGACATACTTGATTTATTTAAACAAGAATTATTAATAAAAATTTTGAGCTATAAGTTTGGCCAGATCCTTTGAATTTGTCCACTTTAAGTTTACTTAAAGTGGACAAACTCAAAAGTTCTGGCCAAACTTATAGCTCAAAATTTTTATTAATAATTCTTGTTTAAATATCCTTATAATTATAAACAATATATTTATAAAATTTTAAGATTATTTGTTTGATTTAATTTTTATAAATAGCAATTATTTTTGGGGGTTGGGGTTTTGCCAGCAAGTATATTTTTAAACCAGTCAACAAATTCCTGACCATATTTATCCTTTTTAATATCAGCACCTACTCGGGTAAATATAATTATTATCAAAATCTATTTTATATATGGAATCTTTTTATATTTTTTGTCAAGAATTATTGGTTGTCTTTTCCACAAATTTTCACACAAACTGAACACATTAAACATGTTGGGGCAAGTATTCAAACGAAAATTTAATAAAATTAATTTATAATTATAAAATTATTTGTAGAACAAGTATTACGGGTAACATGTTTTTTATATAAGGTTGGAAAATTATATGTAATTTTTGTTGTGAATACGTTGGCCAAAAACTTTTGTATAACTAACATATAAATAAATATAAAGTTATAGTTCCGAACACCGTGAAAGTATTGCCACCAAAATCAGTTACATATATTCGGATCTTAAATTTATTTGCCGACATTAAAATTAATGATTAATACGTACAATAATGACGGCATTTGATTAAAAGTAATAAGAATAATAATCACAATTGTGAGGGACCAGCATGAGGTTGGTCCTAACATGAGGTCAATTAGTATTTTTTATGATTACTAATCATTGGCGGACTTTAAATACTAATTAACCTCACGTTGGACCAACCTCATGCTGGTCCCTCACAATAATTTTGTAAACCATATTAAAAATTAAAAATTAAAAATAAATTTTTATTTTAAAATCAAATTTTATACACAATTCAAGTTATATTTTTTTTAAAAAAAATAAAAAATAATTAAGAAAACAAATAAAACTATAATAAAAGAAATTGCTATATTAAATTATTTTAGGAAATTGAAATATTAGTAGCAGATTTCTTAATATTATTATTGTTATCTTCGGGAACAAAATTGTTTTCATCTTCAGTGCTTTTAACATTTTTCTTCAGATTAAGTTCATATTGTTAGAGTTCTAATCCATTATCTATTTATTCATTTATTTATTAGATATCCAAATTTAAATTTATTCAGATATCTGTTTTACTATTAATATCTGGATAATTATTTGAATATTTGTCAGATTATCCAGATATCAATAGTAAATGAATATCCGGATAAATTCAGATATAGATAAATAGATGACGGATTTATCCGAATTAGAACTCTATATATTGTAATATAACAATACAGAGTCTTAGTAAAGCAATACTACTTGACTTAACATGTAAGTGAGTTAAGAAATATGTTTGTAAACAAGAAAAGAATAAGATAAGAAAGAAAACTAAAAGAGACTTTAAAGTAAAACAATAAACCAAAAATAAAGAAAAGAGACGATGGCTCTAATCCTAAAACACAATAAAATACTCAAGAAAAGTGAGAAGAGGCGATGGCTCAACTCAATATACCAAAAATAAATACTCAAAGAAGAAAGAAGAGGTGATGGCTCAACTTT